GTGATGTGACCGCACCCCAGTCCCCCCTTATAAAGACATATCTGTGTGCTGGGCAAGGATTATATTATTTTTATTCTATTTTTAAAATGAGATAAAGGATCCACTCACACAAGCACACATGCACAGCTCTGGAGTTGGCTGTGAACTGACCAGAGTCCATAGCGCCCTCTGTTGGCTCCAAGTGAAGTGCAGGTTTCAGCCCTTCATCTTTCCTTCACTCAGCAAAAGCAACGTGAAGCGTTGTCCAATTTTATATCTGTGATCTTTACTTTGCTCCTGTTTTAATTTGCACTGCAGGACTAACTTTTCTCAAAAAACTAAAACTAGATTGGAGACAAATTTAGTAAAAAGTTCCTTCAGTGAGAGAATCTGAGATGCAGAAAGGAGCAGAGAGCCTTAATGACCATCACTGTTCCCACAGAGCTCTGTTTACAAATTCATGTATGTAAACAGTCGGTTGACGTTTGTTTTCAAACTCTATAGACCCTTTTACTACCTACGTCATCAAAAGTTGCACGCGCAGCCTGGCAACGAGAGTGAAGGCTTCCTCATTCACACTCGATACTTAAACAGCGTTTTAAACCCTTTGTTTTGAAGTTCTGAGCACATAAAAATGTCGGGTTGTTGCGTGTATGGATGCCAGAATCGCTTCTCTTCAAGCAGTGGACTGAAACTTTACAGAATTCCGAAGTTCTACATTTTTCCTGCTCAGGTCTTTCCATGCACATGCCTGAGATGTAACTGCAGCCTTTTCTGTTTTCCCCATCCTAACACAAAGCTCAACTTTGAATAAAATTGCTGCTGCGTGGCTGCAGCATGACCCAAGTCTGGAACATCAAAATGACAGAATTAAACAAATTTATACGCTTTATTTCATGCTTCAAATTAACATTTCATTCTAATTCATCTGTTTTTTCCCACTGCATATTAGTATAAACTGTATTTCTCTCAAATTAACACTCTGAGCACGCTAAAAAAAGAAACCTATACTCACCTTGCCATGCAGGTACAGTTGGCTGTGAAGACGTAGTTCTCTTGTTTGCCTCGTACACAGCAGTCTTGTGTCCTTGTCTTTGGCTAGGAAGGACTTCTGCCTTCAAGACGCAAAACTCAGAGTCTATGTTGTGATATTTTACTTTCTGTACGTGGCCACAGACAACATAGTTGTATGCATCTAACGATTTGTATGTCCGTAGCTTCTCACGTGTGTACTTACTGGGCCTCTCCACTAAAAACGTATATATATCGGGCCACTGGATATCTGGCCACGCACCTACATCTTCCACCCATTCCGTAATGCCACAGGGATCCGGGAGTCTGTTGCCATTTGTTAAAGTGAGTTTAATAATGTAACATTCAAGATTTGCCGGTGATAACCCCGCAGCGTAGCTTGATAAAGCCTGAAACAACGCCATTCTCTGTTGCCAAGCTGCGCGCGCATTCTCGCTGACGTCATATTGTTTACAAACAGTAAAAGGGTCTATAAACTAAAAATGTCAATAGAAACACTCAAAAGCGTTGCTCAGATTGAAGTACCACATCTCCACTGTCTTCTGGTGTAAATTAATAACTTCCTGAGGGATTAAATTTGCAGCTGTGGCTCGTTAAACGCAACTGAGGCTTGGACGCTTGAAGGGTTAATTTTACAGTCCCAGCAAACCTTTCAGTTATAAGCCTTTACATGTATAATTTATTGTTTTTTATCTATTATTTACTAATAATATATAATTTAATAATGTACACGAGTGTGGTCAAGTGAAACATTTAATTTTGAATTTTAATTTATAATAATATTTATTATATTTCTGATCGTGTCAGAGCTTAATAAATATTTTCATGGTTTTATAATTGATTTATTGCAATGCCGTGACTTTAGTGAGGTTAGTACACACCGTAGCCATAAATGCTATGGTTCTAATTATTGATATAATGATTTATTCTGGGCTTTCGGTTTCGGCCAAGAATTTTCATTTTGGTGCATCCCTAGCAGAAATGCATTGTTTTCTTTCTGCTGGTACACCTGGATATCCCCACTGTGGGATAATAATATAGTATTTATATTCTATTATAAATATTAAATCAGTTAAATGAGTGGCATTTAGATATTAACACATTTTTGTGTTTTTATTCTTCCCTTCTCTTTAGTTGGTACTCCATGTTTAATTAAAAAGTGTGTGTGTGTGTGTGTGTGTGTGTGTGTGTGTGTGTGTGTGTGTGTGTGTGTGTGTGTGTGTGTGTGTGTGTGTGTGTGTGTGTGTGTGTTAGTGCATGAATGTGTTCAAGAATGTGTTCACTATAAAATGCACACACAACTCACACACACGTTGCTGTGAGCGAACCCTCTGGCCTATTGAGTTGTGTGATTGACGTCATTGAGGGTTGCAATGGATAATTCCTCCATAGATGTCAGCAGGCTGCTACCATAGGGTCAGAACACACACACACACACACACACACACACACACACACACACACACACACACACACACACACACACACACAGCTGATGAGTACAGGGAGCTGTCACTGTTAAAAACTGCAGCACCACAAAGAAATATATAAAGACACACGTTTGATTGTCTTTTACTGTCATTGTCCTTGTGTTCAGTAGAAAGATGGCGTACCCGATTAGAAAGCCAAAGGACTCGCTGTCAACATGCACCCTGATTCAGAGATGATCAGTCTGGCAGGAATCAGGTGGACATGAGCCAAACATGTAACCATGTAAACTCTTTGAATCCGAAAAGAAAATTCAAAGTCTTTTTTTACTACATAGTTGCTATGGGGTGCGGATGAATCATAAAATAATGCAGCTTTGGGATTCATTTTTTGTTTCACCAGTTTGTTTCCTAATTACATCAAACAAACCCATTGATGGAATTTTAACTAAAACAAAAAGCAAAGACAGTTTATGCAAACGCTGCCGTTTCAGCATCCTGCAGCTTGTACAAAATCCTCTCCAACCCCCGATGACATCGGTTACTTTACAGATCTCAGAGAAAAAACGTCAAAAGAACATGAAGAACTCTCCTCCATCCATTAATCAAGAAGCTGAGTCCATCCCACATCTGCTGTGTTTGATTCCAGCAATTTTCAGAAACTTGTTTTTCTGACCTTTATGACATTTAAATATGAGTAAAAATGTGTGTTTGTACCAGGTGTGGTGTTGTGAACCCATTCCCCACAGGCACAAAGATGATAGATGTGTGTTTCTGCACACGCGTGTTTTAGAGTCAGTGGTTTGGGGAAAAGATTTGTTTGCCCACTGGTGGCGGCAGCATTGATTCACACTCATCTTTGTCGATGCTTATAAGCCTCTGGATACATCATAACCGTGTGTGTGTGTTGGGGGGGGGGGGGGGGGGGGGGGGGGGGGGATTCCTCTCCCTGTGTGTAAACATTCTGTCTGATGGTGCTCCGCTCTTCTTTGTCCGCCATGTTGGTTCTAAAATATCCTCTCAGTATAATAGTTTAGTTCAGTTTGTGACGGTCCTCACAGATAAACTAAATAAGTTTGTCAGTTCAGCAGATTTTCTAAATTACTTAAAGAAATTCTGGCGTTTAAGTGAGCAGCACCATGGGAACCGAACCTGGATGTTGTTGTATTAAACTTTAGCAGAAAATAAAGTCAATCATTTCACCTACATTTGTTTCCTGACTTCAGCTTTTTAAATGCACAATTCAGGTTTTAACCAGCAGAAAACATTACAACTGTTCATATTATTTGTGGAAGAAATAGAAAATAGCTGTTGTGCACAATTGTAAACACACACACACCACACACACACACACACACACACACACACACACACACATCAAAGTAGAGATTGGTTTCTGGAAATGTTATGTTATCTGTTCTTTCCAAATGTGCTAATTACAACCACTCCCTTTCATCTCTGCATCCCCCTTTTCCACCCCTCTGATTTAGTCTTTTCCCATTGTCTCTCTCCGTGCTGCACACTTCAGTCTTCCCAACCATCCTGTGTTTGATGGGATACCAGAGTCTTGGAAAAGTTACTGGGAAAGGATGAAATAAGAGAGAAGAAGAGGTAAACTGTGGCAAAACAGATGACAGTCTCGGTGAGAGAGCTCCAGTTTTTCTTTCCCGCTCGCCGTGCGTTCCCTTTTCTCGGTCAGCCTCTCGCTTGATGACCAACGCTGCAAACAGATTCTGCAAGAGATTCCAGTGTCCAAACATTCCAGCATGTTCAGAAATACTGCACACAAACAGCCTGCTGGTGAGAAGATGAAGGAGAGCTTGACAAAACAGCAAGTGGCGGGGAAAACCTTGTCCCAATCATGTCCAAATCATTCCACAACAAAGGACGCGCGTTCTCTGGAATTGCCGTAATCTGGTATTTTACTGCTGGGCTGTGATGGGGCTCTGCTGGGCTCTGACTTTCTGAGCATGTTATCGATGTGACACTTTTCTTGAGTTTCAGGTCAAGCTTGCACTTGTTCCTTTGATCTGGCAATTCTTTGGATTTGATTATGTCCCGTTTGTGCTCTGCATGCTGGCAAGCTCAAATCCGTGTTGTTTTTTACCAGAAAGATGCTGCAGATCAAGGTGATCTCGTGTTTCCTAGAAAGCTAGGCTAAAAACTTCTTTAAAACAAATGAAAGTTGAGCTTTTTGTTTGTTTTTTCTGACTTTTCAGTTTTTAAAATCTGTTTTTGTTGAATGGTTGGTGTAGAGTGTGGCAGTGGAGACCAAAGGGGACACTGGATCATAAAGATGGATCATACCAGAAGTGCTGGTATTCTTGTTTCAAACCGTTCCCCTCACCTGACTCTTTCTTCTCCCTGCTTCCTTTCTTCCCTTCCTCTCTCCTCTCTCTTCTCCTCTGTGCTCTTTGTCTGATCCCTCCTTCTCCACCTGCTTTTCTCCCTCTCTCTCGCTCCCTCTGCTTCTCTCCACCCCTTTCTCCACCCATCCCTGCAGCCATTGGTCAGCTGTCCACCAATCACAGCAGAACGCGGACCTGAGGGACTGCATATGCAAAATCCTGCTTAATATTCATGAGCAACTATCGGAGCTTTAAGTCGTTGATTAGGACAGCAGCACAGCTTTCTGTCCCAACTGCCCGGCTGGCTGGCTGTGTATGTGTGTGCGCGCGTGTGTGTCTATAGCCCCTTTTCCCGGCTGTCACATACACACTGCACACACACGCTTCCTCACGTCTACACACACTCGCAGAGCCGATCAGTGCAGGCAGCGCAGACCAGAGCCTGGTAATTGTGCTACTCCCTCCAAGTGCAAGGAAGGACTGGGCGCGAGAGAAAGAGAGAGAGAGAGGGGGGACGACCAGAGACAGAAGAGGAGGAGAAAGAGGAAACATATCAAAACTTTGATTTTTTTTATTCTTTTTCGTGTTTTTTTGCCGTTTCCATAAAGGAGGTTGGCGTGACAATGACCCGGTACCGCTGATGGAGTCGGTAGGACATCCCTTATCCGAGTGTTTTTTAATGCACTCTGAACAAGAGTAGGTAAATTTTACCTTTTGATCTTCCCTTTTTTACTCATCAGCCAACTTGTCATTCATTGTCTTCTGCTGTGAGTGACTGCATGCAAGTTAGTGAATGTGTTTGGTGTGCTGGAATGCAGCATGTCAAGGTTGCTCCCGCTGTCAGGTAGCACAGGATCACTGTCCACGTGAGTGTGTGTGTGTGCATTTTTGTGACAATGCCTGTATGTAGTTGCTGTGTCCAGACAGCAGCTCTTATCTGTAGGTGGAGGAGCTCAGATTTTGTCCCTCCACCTGGAAGTAAGACACACACACACACACACACACACACCTGACCTGTCACACACATTCAAACAGCTTACTCTTCACTTTTTCTGCCTTAAAACATTCTTGTCAGTAAAATTGTTTGAGAGACAAAGACCCAACTGAGTTAGGACCCGTGTGACTGCTGGTGTGTGTGTCCGTGCAAGTTCATCCAGGCAGAGAGTCAGCGAGGTAACGGGGAGCGACGGGAGGAGAACGGCCCGTAAGAACTGAGGGAGGAGGAAAAGAGGGAAAGCTGCGCTCTTAAATGCCGGAGGAGGTCAAATGTCTGACCGGCTGCTCAGCGTGTGGCCCCGCTCAGGAATTAGAGACAGTTCCTCTCAGACACTCTTCAGCTGCTCTTTTGAACCAAAACTTTGCTCTTTTAGGTGAAGATCATCCAAAAAGCTAAATAACTGCACACGACAGATATTATGCATAATTCTGCTCATGTTTACGGCTGTAACACACATGCACGCTAATTCTTCTGGCTTTTTTCTCTCAGACGTTAAAAGGTGAAAAATTTTTTGAAGCGATGGGTTGTAGAGTGTGACCGGTGACTGGACAGCACTCTTGTTTCATTTTGGCATCTCATCACATTTTAACATAATTTTATTGCTCATTTAACGTAAAATAAAACTTTAGTTTCTGGAAAAGTCTTGGACAAAAACCTAGAAACATTTAGGGAAACTAAATTAAAGCGTCGGTTGGAGCCTGCACAGCTGTCAAAGCCAGTGACACCAAAAAACAAGAAAATGACAAGAAATCCTTAACATTTAAAAAGAAAGTGTCCCTGTGAGCCGTGAACCTGGCTTGTCTTTGTCTCTCCGTGTGTCCCCTAGAACCCTTTTTCCTTTACAGCAGGTCGGATAGTTAGAGACCTTTAACAGAGAAGATCAGACGGAGAAACGAAACACTCATGTTGTCTCTCTTCTTTTGACTAAAGCATGCTAAAGCGTCATTTAATGTGTAATCTTAATTTTCCCATTGAGATTTTTAGATTTGAAATGAGATTTTTTCATTCAAACTATATTTAAACATTTACAAATGGCAGTTTTTAGGATGTTGTTGTGAAGCAAGGTGTAAGAATATGATTTTTTTTGTGAATCATTTGAAACGTAAACACAAATTTCTGACGCTTCTGTTTACAGGAACACAATCCTGCTGATTGGGTTCTGTCTCAACTGCAGAACAATGATTTTTAACGTCGACTTGAGCATTAAAGTCAGAGTGAACCTTTAATGAGGACAACGTTTTTACATTTCTGGATGGGGAGACGAGTGATGCACATACCATGTCAGAAAGAAAGAGTGAATGTGGAAAAATGCACATGAATGTCCCAAAATTCTGCAGCAAGATGTGCCTGTTTAACCTGTGTGTGTGTGTGTGTGTGTGTGTGTGTGTGTGTGTGTGTGTGTGTGTGTGTGTGTGTGTGTGTGTGTGTGTGTGTGTGTGTGTGTGTGTGTGTGTGTGTGTGTGTGTGTGTGTGTGTGTGTGTGTGTCACCTCTCAGTTTTTTTTAGAGAACCCTCTGGTCCAGTCAGCCGTCTGTCCGCTCCTTCATCCCTCCATCCATCGATCCATCCATCTGTCCACCATTCCTCTTTTTCTCCACTCAGGCTTTGCCTCCTTTTCCTTTAAGGCGCTGCGTTTCTAATTAAAATATTAAGGATAATGATGATCATGCCGATAATAATAACAAGTACCGCTTAAGTAGTTAACATAATTGCATTCCCCTCATGTCACCGTATACATACAATTTGCATGTCATTAAAATGTGTGACCTTAGTGAATTTGATGTTTTTTGTCAGTGGGTGTGAGGTGAGCGGACCTGTGGTGAAAATTGCACAGCGGCCGTGCAAATTGTTCAGGCGCAGATTTGCAGCGCGATTATGAAAGGAAGGGCAGCAAAGTGGTGATTTCTGTCCGGAACCGGTGTCAAACGTCCCTTTTTCACTATTTAATTAGTTAGATTTTCAAATGAAAATACTGTAATGATTGTGGAGAAATATGTTTTCTGTTTAAGGATGCAACTCAACCAAGTCAGGATCTTGACTAATATTAGAATTTTGTAAAACACCAAACATAAATATAAAGTGTTTAGACGTAATTTAAAAACATTTAGGAGTTAGAAGAGGATTCCTCCTGTGATGCGATGGGCTCCAACAGGATTTTTGTTTTAAGAATATTAACGCATGAAATTTTCATGGTTATCAGATCATTTAAAAAAAAATCTAGCTGAAATAAGTCAGAGTTAAAAGCTGCATCAAAATTATTTTATATAAATGAATAATGTAATAAAAAAGGTGTAGGACTATGAATGTTTTATTTTTATGGCCTTTTGCTTTTTGTGATTCTCCTGTGCGCTTATTCTTTTCACAGGCCATGAGGAAATAAGGATCATAGAGACAGAGAGGTAAAGCTGTCTGGAGCGAGGGATGGAGGGGAGGGGGGACCAAAGAGAGATTGCGTAAATTAAAATCCTTTTAATCTCCTTATAAAATCATTTACTTAATTCATCTGTCAAAGCATGTCAATATGTGCAGCGGTGATTTGCTGGCTGCGCCAGTGTGTGTCCGTGAGTGTGTGAGGGCACGCTCGTGCATTTGCATCTGTTTTCCGTCATGCGTGGGTTTGTGCCTGCCTGCCCACATTCTGTGTGTGTGTAACCTATTGATGGCCTGTGTGAGGAAGTGATGTTCTCCTTTTTGTGTGTCTCCCTGCCTGTCTGTCTGTCTGTCTGTCTGTCTGTCTGTCTGTCCCTGTGGAATTCATTGTCTGTCAGGTTTTGCATTGTGTAGACTTCACACACACACACACACACACACACACACACACACACACACACACACACACACACACACACACACACACACACACACACACACACACACACACACACACACACACACACACACACACACACACACATACACACACACACATTCATGCTTATTATGGGCCTCTCTGTCTCTCTCTCCTTCTCTCTTGTGAAGTCCGGGCATTCCAGCGGTAAATTTGTCCCGTAAAAAGAGAGAGGCAGTGAGAGGGACAGATAGAGCAGGAGGTGTGAAGGGAGGGGAGGAAGGGGGCTTGCTTTTGTCTGACACCAGCACTCAGGAGGTCCGTCGGACACACGTGTATGCATGACCGCACACGTGCACAGAAGCACAAACTCTCTCTCATACGCACACCAATACAGGAGAAAGCACATCCTTTCAGGAATTTTCAAATTCAAAGTAAGCAAGCAGACGCAAGAACGCACAGTTCTAAGTTCTCGAAAAACATTTTAAGTTTCAGTTCATCATAAAAGACCAGAAAGGCAAAAAAAGGTTGATTTATAACTATCCATCATTGCTCCGAGTGTAAGAGAGGATGTCACGGGTCATCGACAGCCCGAATGTGTTGAAAGAGCAGTGAGAGAGACTTTACCAGCTGTGTCACCCACACACCCACACACACACACACACACTGCAATTAGCCATTACATCACATTGTGTGTGTGTGTGTGCGTGTGTGTTTGTGTGTGATTCAATGTCGAAGCGCTGATTGATATGAGAGCAGATATATGGGAAGAGGCAATGCTGCTCATCTCTCCTCTCTCCCCTCCATACACACACACACACACACACACACACACACACACACACACACACACACATCTGTTCCTCTGTGGTGCTCATCCGCTCAGTCCCCGTATTCCATCACTCGTACATCCCAGTCATCCATTCATCAAATTTGCATTTAGTTATTCTTGCTATCATACAAATTTATAAAGTCTCCCCCGCCACACATCTGAGGATGACTTTTGTTCAGTCCGAGGGAATTCCTTTGACACTGCCCCACATTCAAGCTTTTAGTGTCAGAAGTTTTTTTAATCATTGTGGGACATGAAAAATGACAACTTTCTATAAACTGTTTCCATACGTAATTAAAGCTGTTCAGCTGGATAAAGTATTGATTATTTAGATCAGCGGACTTCTGTGTGTGTGTGTGTGTGTGTGTGTGTGTGTGTGTGTGTGTGTGTGTGTGTGTGTGTGTGTGTGTGTGTGTGAGAGAGATATTTTGCTTTTGCACTTTTTCTCTTGCAGTGTCCATCGGGAGCACCTATAGATTGGCTGTTTGAGTCGTTTTCCTCCTTTTTGTCCTCCTGATTAAATTGTTATTGTTTGAACATCTTCTTATGCTAATGCTAACCCCAAAAATATTAGGAAAAAAAGAACGGTGCAGTGGAACATGAGAGAGAGCGCTACCAAGTGAATGATAAAGAAAAAAATGACCATGCCATTTTCCTACTCAGAGAAATATCCCTTCTCTCATCCTCCCATCATGATTCGTGTGTGTGTGTGTGTGTGTGTGTGTGTGTGTGTGTGTGTGTGTGTGTGTGTGTGTGTGTGTGTGTGTGTGTGTGTGTGCGTGCGTGCGCGTGCCTGATAGGGAGAGAACAATGGAACAGCTCCCCCCTCCCCCCAACCTGTACCCCAACACCTGACTTCTCTTGTAAACTTTTTCTCTTTTCTCTTACAAAAATCTTATTTAAACACAATTTATAAGTATGTTCTCCAGTCACATGAGCAAATCCAACATAGGTTCTGTCTTCCTCAAATTATACAATTACATATTTGGCTGCTTAATAAAGATAGATCTTTGCTGAATGACAAATCTGTGACAAGGCCTTTACAGCTACAGCACTCATGAAAATTTATCAAAATGGTCTCTCGAACAAATCTGTGGAATTTGTTCAAAATTCAGTCGAACTTCTTCATTTGGTGTCCTATTCTTGTAAAAAACATCTTTAAACCAAATGATTTGCAGCAGTTATGATGGTAAAATATAGTCATCTTTGAGCTTCTGCACCAAATTATTTGACATTGAAGAATGCCACCCGTGTCGGCAGGCTTCAGGACCCTACTCTATAGGATTATCTGTTTCTACTATGAAGGCCTCAAATATAAATATAGAAAAAACACGGCTTTGTATTCTAATCTTCTATATTTGCATAATTGCAGGCAATTATATTTGTATAATTTTTATTAATGAATGAAAACAATGTTCGTTAATATAGTTTTAAAGGTTTAATATAATTATAAATGTGTACTTTATTCGCCTTAAAGTGTGTTCCCCTGAGCAACTGATCTGCTCTTTTCTACACCTCTGCAGATAATTTAGTTTTCCTTTATCTCTGTCTTCCTTCACATTTCAAACACACACACACACACACACACACACACACACACACACACACACACACACACACACACACACACACACACACACACACACACACACTTTCCCTCTCTCTCCCTCTCTTCCTCTCCACACACCCCTCCCTTGTGAAGCTGTCACCTTTCTGCACCCGCTCAGTCCCTATTAAGGCCGACAGCCCATCTGCCGCCTGCCCCGCTAACAGCTCCCGTCGCTAACGCTAACGTGCACACACACATATCCACTCAGACACACACAGGGCTGCATCCAACCCCACCTGTCCTGAAGCATGTGTAGTCACACGGCGAGAAAAACACTCAAACACATTCATAGATGTGAGTTTTTTTTCTACCTTTAGATTTATGTATTTGTTCATCTTAAGGTGTAAGGAAGTCTTTATTTACTCAGATGCGGCGACAGGACCTGCTTATTTCATTTCACTAATACTGTATAAATAGGTTTGTCACATAGGTTCTGTGTTTAGTGATTCATTTGTGTTCAAATGTGTTTATGTCAACTGTTCAAATGAGTTAGTGGCTATATTTATGCAAATGTAAGAATGCAGACCGTACGTGTGATTGTAAGACATCACACTGCCCCGACTACAGGGGTAATTAGGTAGGGCTGTGTGTGTGTGTGTGTGTGTGTGTGTGTGTGTGTGTGTGTATGTGTGTGCCTGCAGGTGTGTGTGTGCGATGTGGCATTTGCTCCCTTCAGGGATAGGTGGGTTTTGCAATAGCATGATGGCAATGTATCAGCAACCTGTCTCATCAATCACCACACACCATTCTCTCACACACACCGGAGAGAGACGAGAGAAGCAGACACACGACGAGACGAACGACACAGAGAGAGAGAGAGAGAGAGAGAGAGAGAGAGAGAGAGAGAGAGAGAGAGAGAGAGAGAGAGAGAGAGAGAGAGAGAGAGAGAGAGAGAGAAAGAGAGAGAGAGAGAGAGAGAGAGAGAGAGAGAGAGAGACTAGGTTGTGGTCATGCTATTCACAGATGGACCAGCAACACATGAGTGAGTCACTGAGCATCAGAAAGACACCCTCAATCTCCTTACCGCCCCACATTTTCACACACACACACACACACACACACACACACACACACACACACACACACACACACACACACACACACACACGGAATGTATGTGCTAATGCAGTGAATGTGTTCTGACAAGAGCGTGAAATAGGTTAGGTAGAATCAGGTTGTCTTTTATTCTGTATTTGTCATTTGAGTTTGTGCCTTAAGCTTGTTTAATTCTCCTGCATTCATTACATGTTCATTACAATCTGAAAACCACAACACCATTTTTATTAACAAGTAAGGGAACGTATGAAACATTAGAGCAGAGATTAAGTAGCAGGTAAAGCCGTTTGTCACGTAGCCATTACACACCAAGACACAGCTCTTTAAATCAGAACTATGTACACAGGTATTTTGTAAACCTGCATTTCAGAGTTCACACAGGTTAAAATGTGAAAATGACTTTCTTTTATCTCATTTAATCCTCTTTATTTGTTCCTTCCTCGGCTGAATGAATGGCCGTTTCAAACAGCGTTGGTGTTACAGAGGAGGAGGGGAGCGGGGACTCGGGAGCCTTTGTACTGGATGCTCCTGAGTCTGGTGTGACACCGGGACACTCCCCAATAAAAAAACAACAGTATTAAGTGTTGCCTGTCTATATAGCATTGTGACTCTGCAACCAAAGCCAATAAGTGTCTGAAGCAGCAGAAAGATATTGATTCCTCCTATTCACCAGAGTGGAACTAAAACCTACATATTACACACTCTGGCCCTCCACCTCTGGCTGCTCTGACCCTGCTGCAAGGGTGGATGGAGGTATATCTGTCAGACAAGTCACGGGTCTGTCTACCTGTCTGTCTACCTGCTGCACATAAACAAGAACCCAAAAAGGGGAAGTGTCCCACACCTGTGTTGATCCCGTTGTCACACATTAAATCATTCAGCTTTAGGGATGGTTAAAGAAAAGCTTCAGAAAATATCCCAAAACTTTAGTATCTGAAGCTGATGTTTTTACTATGTTTAAGAATGTCCAGGCTTGTTGCTTCATGCATGTTTATTTTTTCTTGATTGATGGTCAAGGCTGCTACAGCGAATCTGCAAACAAGCTAGGACACAAACACGGCCATGGAGCACTCACCCCTCCCCTTGGGTATCTTCCCTGAGACACTGGGAGGATGTGAGATGCTGGATGAAACGAGATAGTGCTAAACACCAGTCGTTGCTTTTGTTGTCCGTGACTTGAAATTATTTTCTTTTTTTTTTTTTTGAGACTCTGGCAGTTCATTCTAGAGTTGAAGTGGTAGCAGCCGGCTGTTTCGCCTTCTTCTTCTTGAGCCGCGAACCTCTCACACCAGTGATGTTCTGTTTCTAAACATGCGAGAGCGTAATAAATGGGAAAGTGCGGTGGTTCGCAGAGACCACGAACCAACTGGTCCAGTGGTTGAAACGCTTTATTGGCGGAGGTTTTTAGATGAATGCAGGAGAACCACTTTATAATTATTCTTTTAATCTCTACAATATATTTATAGCTACATAATGTTAGAATTGCTAAGAGGTGTGAAAAAAGTGTGTTTATTTATATTTTTTTCCAATTTTGCTAAAGCAGCTACAAGGTTAGCACATAAAGACGAGGTTTATGTTTACTCCTTTTTCTTCATGTTCACTAGAAAAGCCGAGAGGTTCTCGTATTATTTAATCATCTGTTTCATACGAAAGGTAATTTTGATTCTGGTGCCCACGGTGACCTTACCACCTCTGCAGCTACTCCTTCCCCCAACATCAGCGTCAAGTCTGATTGATGGATAGCCGCCCCTCCTGTGGTGCATTTACGTTTTTTTTTTTTCCCAGGTCTTTAAGCTGATAAAACTCCTCTGATGCTAAACGCAGCTGGATTTTTGCTTCGGTTATCATCTTGATACGTCCTCTGAGTTATACATGCACAGACAGATATATTTGATTGTAATGTGTTAACACAACAAGACAAAAGCCTCTGCTGGTTTAAAGATTCAACCTGTCCAGCGCGCCGCTCTCTGAAGGCTGTCAGTGCATCGGTCCGATGGCTTCGCTCTCAGCGTGTCGGCTGTTTTTCAACGTCTTTTTTATTTGGGTGTACATGCTTGTGCTGAAAGTGATGTGATGACAACCATAAAACAAGTCAAATGAGAGTGTGTGTGTGTGTGTGTGTGTGTGTGTGTGTGTGTGTGTTGTTTCCATTCTACTGATTTCATTCATTCATTTGTCTCTATATTTATTGTATATTAACTGTTTGAGTTAATTTGTCAGTAAATGTAAAATTGTGACTTTTTCTAACTTGAGAAGAGTCCTTGGAGAGACTCACTGAACTTTTACACATTATTTTTACGATATACGATTATGAATCATTTAAAAAAAGCTTCAAATTCCCATTTGCAGGTTTTTCTTTTCTGTTTTTGTGCTAATGACTGCGTTTTCACCCCTGTCCTTCTTTACCCCCTCCAAACTCCCTGGCCTCCAGAATGAACTTATCGAAGGGGCCTTTGGTGAACAGCAGCAGCGAAGATAACGCCAAGTCGACATATGTTAAATGCGGCGCCGGCGCCTGGAGGATGCACCAGAGCTACGATTCACTAGAAGCCAACCACATGAGAGACCCACATGCCCTCTACAACCCCAGGTAAGGCAGAATTACAAAAGATGCAAGTGATGGTAAATCAATGAACCCGTCCGGATCCAGTTTTACACAAAAAGTCTAAACCTGGAGCTGGTGAGAGGAAGAAAGGACGAGGATACTCATGCATCAGAACTTTTCTTTGGATTTCTTTGCACATCTAGGGCATTGCACAAAGTAAAACCTTCAGATGTAAATCTAAACAAGGAGTCGTTTCCTTATTCGTTACAATAAATCTGATAACTTAACCTTTATCCTTGGGCTTCTGGTCAATGTAACATGGCAAACTGAAGCCACACACTCATGTGCACGCATACACACACACACATATATAGATAGAAAATGCATGTCTGCCTTTTGCTAGAGTTAAAAGAAAAGATCTAACATTCTTTTTACGGATTCTGCCATGTTTTGTTTTAAATCCACGCTAAGGATTAGAAGTTGAAAGTCCTGTCTACTCACCCTCACACAATCATGGTGTTCATTCAACATGAAATAAGTATTTAAATGAATGCATGAGGGACATCTTGGCAGCAAACACCTGAAGTCAGTCTTATGTATCTTATTCAGTGTTCTATTCGTGTATTAGGAAGAAGCAGGCACATGGCCAGGCTTGTTATGTTTCAAACTGTGGTCCGATGTCTGGGTAACAGTTATACCACCGACAGTTGAAACTCATTCGGTTACGTTTACAGTAAACAATAAAAATAAACTCAGGGCGAGACGTGCCTAGTGGAACCTGTTTCTATGCTGCTGTTGTGGGCAACTTTTACCAAGTTTGCTCCTAATCGGTTTTTAGACACGTTACGGTAAATACGATGCTTGTTTAATGTTAGGACACAGGAAATGTACGTGTACGACACACAAGCTCATGTTCTGTTACACATCTGTCGCTGTGTAACAGAACATTTCTTTGGATTAACAGCCAAGATGAAATTTCCATATGGAAAATTTTAGTGAGTTGTTCCATATAAATCAATAGGATGATGCACATTTATGACACTACTGATGAAGAAAACAAGTTTATTTACTGTTTTTTACTTTATTCATATCTTATTGTGTGTTTTTATATTTTGATGCACGTGAAAACACTTTTGGGAAACACGAATGCAGTTTCTGAATGTGACCTCACGTGAACAAAAACTGCATTTATTCGTAACATCATTATTATTACGTCATCGACACACAATTAAAAGACAATTGACTTTTATTGCTGTGAGGTTTTTCACCAGGCATGATGTTAGTTTCAGTGAAAAAGCACTAAATTCTTAATCAATGCACACAGGATGAGATTGCCCTGCATGGACTGACTCCTAGTGTGTGTGTGTGTGTGTGTGTGTGTGTGTGTGTGTGTGTGTATGTGCGTGCGTGCATGCGTCGTGCGTGCACGAGCGGAAGTCTTAGTCCAACAGGATTCAGGGTTAAGTCTGGGTCAAGCCAATTAGAAGTTTGGCGTTCTATTCTCACGCAGATCCTCGGCCAGTCACCAAGACATGTGTTACTAAAACAATGTAAATGTGCCTGAATGTGTGTGTGTTGTCATACAATAGTGATGAGAGAGGTGTAAAGGTTTGTTTGGGGCTCACTCACTACAGTCAGATGGCCACACACACACACACACACACACACACACACACACACACACACACACACACACACACACACACACACACACACACACACACACACACACACACACACACACACACACACACCCTCCCTACAGTATGGAGGACTGATTCAGGTTTTGGCCTGAGCAGACACAAGCTGCAATTGTGATCGGATATAAATTTTGTAAAAACATCAAATAAATTTGGTGAAGATGTGACTTCAGATTTTTATTTCAACACTCAAGTTTTTTCTTTTCTCATTTTTTTTTGTTTTGTTTTTTTACACACTTCATAAGATCACATTTCTGCGGGATGTTCTGCATTAATAAGATTTGGGTCACTCAGTGTTTCTCACACACACACACACACACACACACACACACACACACACACACACACACACACACACACACACACACACACACACACACACACACAAGATGAGACAGAAAAACTTAGCTAATTTCATTTTTTATTAATTTTTAAAAATGTGGGTGTTTTTTTATTTTTTGCTATTCTTAAATTCAACTTTTACTTAATTATGAAACAATCAAATAGTTTGTTTCTTCTTGGGTTTTTTTTCTTTAAAATGTTAAGTTTTCCTGGGACTGCAAAAATGTGTGTCTCTTTTTTTATTCAGGCCATCAAACCATGAGAATGTGATTAATGTCAAGCAGCTAGGGTGCCCCCCCCCCCCCCACACACACACACGCCAAACACACACACATCATTGTATACTGAGCCCAATGTAATCATAATGATAAAGCAGATTGCCTTAACACACAGATGGGCCTCCCAGCAGCTTGTGTGTGTGTGTGTGTGTGTGTGTGTGTGTGTGTGTGTGTGTGTGTGTGTGTGTGTGTGTGTGTGTGTGTGTGTGTGTGTGTGTGTGTGTGTGTGGACAACACTGATTGGATTGCAGATTTATAGAAGAGGATTACTGGAGAAGCAGAGACAGAGTGAGAAAGAGAAAAAGGGAGAGGGTTTCAGACACTCACCTCTCATCATCTTCCATCTCTATCACCTCAGATTGCCTTATTTTCAAATATGGACAAACACACACACACACACACACACACACACACGCACACACACACACACACACACACACACACACATGCATACACAATTAGCATTGGATGTAAATGCAGCATTTAATGTTTTCTATTAGACACATTTGTAGTTTAAAAGTGAATAAATGGCACTAAATGCACTGTAAAAAGAGCAGATATTGTATATGTGTGCAAAACTAAGTCAAAGCAGGCTGACCTGAGAGCCGTGAATGAAAACGTTAAAGCTGACAGTGGGAGACAGAATATGAAAGAACCCAGGCAGAGACAGGCAGAACGACAGAGATGGGCAGAGACAGTGGGCACTCCAGCAAACCTGATTATGACTGGATGTGAATTAGATTCCCTAACAGATGGTCCAGGAGCGAGGCTGTAAGGTGCATCAGCCAGCAGTGGGTGGGTGGGGGGGGGGGGGGGGGGGGGGGGGTGGGGGGGGGTAGGTTAAAGGAGGGAGGGAGGGAGAAGTTAGGCGAGATCAGGGGAGGAAGCTGAGGAGACAAATGTCAACAGCAGTGTGTGACGAGGTGGAAACGTGCAACAGTGTTTAGAACATTTCCAGATGTCCCTTTAACTCATATAGAAATGGATGACTTGTTAGGAGCATTCTGACTCGTAATCTACAGCTTTTCCTTTTTTCTGACCCGCAGCAGCTGTTAGTGATCTAATTATTTAAACCAGAAGCAATGAGCTGCACTGATCATTACAGAATAATGTTAAATGAGATTTTCTGGAGTGTTATTTGTAGAATGTTGAACAGAAAATTCAGAAGTAAGTGCTGCACTTTGCCTGTTTAAGATGGATTTCTTCCATTTTTCCAGCTGCTGTGCATTATTCCGCCACTCCCCCCCCTTACAGTGATGGATAGGTGTAAATCATCACAATCCTGTCGTGACAGCCCAATTTCCCCAAATCTGATCTGCTTAAAGAATGCAGCTTTGACGCTCTATTCACTCAGACATCCGTCCCTCTCCTCTCGGCTCTTCCACTCTCCTTTTCCACGTTTTTACTTATACATTTCACTTTTCTACTCGTTCGCACCAATCGGCTCGAATTTAACTTCCAGTATTCTCTCCCTTTTTTCTTTATCTTTTCTCCTCTGTAGGAATAGACCCCCCCCCCCCCCCCCCCCATCCTCGTTTCCACCTCTCCTCTTTTTCCCTCTTCTTCCCTCTATGTCACATTTGAAAGCTGCCATATTTACTAGAGGGAAAATCCTCTTTCACCATCTGCTTAATAAAATGCCTTTTTAATCCGATGAGAGGATATTTTGTTTTAAATACCTTTTTTTATTATTTTGGATTTTTTTGTATCATTTCATTTGCTATGGCACTTTGCCCAGGTCTCAATATGTCCATGTAAAAGAAAAAAATGGAGAATTAAACACAAGTGTCAAGGCCATGTATCTAAAACTAAGAAACAACACTTTTAATTCACTCACTCGCGTGCACACACACACACACACACACACACACACACACACACACACACACACACACGAGCATAGAAAGAAAAAGGAACATCCACCTTGATTTATGACCTTTTTAGTGTATATGCTTCATATTCCTTTCTCCGTTTCACTCCTGTTTCCTGCCACGATCACAGAAATAAGCAGTATTATTTAATTACTGTATTTCCTGGGTTTGCGTTCATTATGTGCATCATTTTAACACATAGAATGTGCATTCCTGATTGCATTTTTCCTTTAAAAGAATGATGTGTTGTGGCTACATCCAGGATCTTCTATAAAGGTTTACATAACAGGATGCATGAAGTAATTTCATCGATTTTCACCATGCAGTCTTTCCAGTAAAAGCCTGGAGGTCACTGCAAGAACATGCTATTTAGTCAGATCAGGTCCTGAAATATGACTAGTTTGCATTCATTTGTCTCTTCTTGGTTTAAATCTTTTGTGGATTTTCTTTCTTTAACTATAATATCAGACCCATTATGCTGTCCGGTGTGCTACATCTGGATGGAGTAGAGCTGTTTTTTTAAGATTTTATCCACTTTTATACAGTAGACAACTACCACAGTGACACAAAACAGATAAAGGAGACAGAAAGAAAGGAGAGGAAAGAGAGACGCAGTGACAGAGATAGTGCCATGGCAGCAGAACACTTATCAGCCACAGCTCCGTGGAAAAAAATGACCTAAATCATAAAGATTCCCATCTCAAACACACACTCGGACTGCTGTGAGCGTGTTCATCTTTTTATTACCTTTGTACCCAAACAGCCACACAAACCCAGCTGGACATTAAAATCTAAGTTATGGTTTAAGTAGATTAAGGGAGACTTAAAAGGCAAATAAGACAGAGTTGTCACCA